GGGTTGTCAGAAAAGTCATGATGTATTTTTTCTGTTTTTCATTGCAAAAGATGCGTCATGACTTTTCCGACAACCCAATATTTGAAACACTGACACATACTGAAAGTACGCTTCACAGAATTGTTATTTTATACTATTATGCTATTTTGTTGGCCTCCACTGTTGAGGCTTTTTGCCTAGCTACCAAAGTTCTTCATAGTCTAAGCCACAGGCTGACAGTTTATTTATTCACCACTCTAATCTACCATACCTACTGTCAAGATTTGTCCATCTAATCCCTAAATTTGTGCTTTTCATTATATGGCTCCCCACCTCTAAACTCCTTTTGCACTTAAAACCAGATATTTTAGCACTAAATTATTTTGTAATTTGTTTCCTCTTCTTCCTAATTGTTCACTTACTGAGGAAATATACCATGTCTACCCCTTCTTTGAAGCATCCATAGCGTGATGAGTAACTTAGTGATTGATTATTTGGAAATGTGAGGGGGGAAATCTTCATTTTGCTATCACAAATTTAGTGAAAAATATGTTTCTTGTCTAAAAATGTTGAAGGTCATAGATGAAAATCTAAAATTATAAAACTTTTAGAAGAAAATATAGGAGATAATTTTTACCTTGGCTTAATTAAAGATTTTAGATGTAATACCCAAAGCACAACCTATAAATAAAAAAAACTGCTAAGTTGAATTTCATCAAAATTAATAATTTCTGCTCTTTTTAAGATTCTTCAGAGAATTAAAAGATAAACTACATACTTGGAAAAGATATTTGCAAATCACAGATGTGTAAAATAAAAAATGTTGGAGGTCCCTTTCCTCCACCCAGTAACATTGTAAATAAAGTGCCTTCTCATCCTTATAACTACATCTCGGTATTACTTTTGTTCTTGTTTTCATATTTAACTAATACAGTAATTCATGTCATCCAGGCATGTCTTTTAGATTGTGGTTTGTATTTTATGCTTTACCAGTTACAGAAGGCCAAATGAATACAGATGTGCCTTTCAATGTCATCCGTTTCTTCTTTGTCTGTGTTGTCAAAAGTAGTTGGTAGCAGAAATTTCCTTCTACAATGAACTCCCTAGCAGACAATGAGCTCCAGTGAAAAGTGGAGAATAAGCAAATAAAAAGAACAGAGGGAAAAAAAAAAAAGAACCTAAGAAATTTCCCTTTGAATTTTCAGAAAGAACATCTCTATCTACTAATCGTCAATTTAAAAGACCCTTGAGAATATCTAGGATATCTTCAATATGCCAACATGCAATTTATGGCATCTTTTTATTAATTAAATGGGACAACTGCATTTAAATAATGTATGGTAGGAATACTTAATGTTCTCTTGAAAAGCACTCAGCCTAAAATGATTTAACAGTAAACTACCAAATAATTTTAACAATAAACTAGCAAAAGTAAAGTAAGTGTAATTCATAATCTTAGATCTTAGATAGCTCTTCATCCATACATTTTACAGCTAAATCTAAGAGTTCTAATTAGGTCCACAGAGTTGGGAGGGGTTGAAGATGTTTGTTATAGTCAAATTGGATCAAAACTCAATTTTACTTAAAGAGTGAAGCTATCTATACTCCATTGTTTTTTATTCAGTCTACATTATTGGCTTCTTAATATGTCAGCAGATTACCTTAAAAGCTTTTTTTCTGAAATTTCCCTTGCAAACATTTAAATAGGTATACATACATATTTCATATAGCTCCTGATTTTTGGTCAAGTTAGTTTAACTTGATAATACTATATTTTTATACTTTCATAAATGGTCTGTTATCTTTCTATACGTTTGATTATGTGTGTTAAGAAGGCTATGAACCCTTATAGCTTTTCTCTTTCTCTGATGTACCCCTTTTCTGAAAAGTGTGTTTCTGTCGTTATAATTAACTTTTAGGTAATTTTAATTATTATAAACAAATGTATTAATAAATTTGGAAATATTAAATGAATTTCCAAATTTATGACTTTTTTTCCCCTTACAATAGAAACTCTTCTTTTCTAACATGGTCTAAACCCGTAATTGTGTTCACTACATTTTAAAACTGATACAAATGTATCCATACATTGATACATGAAAATAACTAAAATGCAAGAAGAAAAGAATGATTTGAGAAATCTGCCTTACAAATAAGACCAACTGAAAAGTTGTACCTTTTGCCATTCAGACAGATGATTGTTTTAAGATTTTTTTTTTTTTTACAATCTTTAGGAGACAAAGTTTAGGCTTTTTCAGTTGGGAATTAAAAAGAAATATGAGTGAAAAAAGAAAAATGAAGTACACCCAAGTTGGAAAACTATTTGACAGTACCTGCTGAAGTTGAACATATTAGTAAGCTATGACCCAGTGGTTCCACACCTGGATTCGTACCCAGCAAGGGTTTGTGTGTGTGTGTAAGTGTAAGGGGGTAAGTGAGTGTGTGGGTGTCTGTATTCACTAAAAGATACATGCAAGGTTTATAGCAAGGTTATTGATAATGACCAAAATTTGGAAACAACTTAAAAGGTCTGTCAACAGTAGAATGGATAAATACATTACAGTTTACTTACTTAACAGAATACTCTGTACACCAATGAGAAGGAACAAAGTTCAACATCATGCAGAATGTTGGGAAGTCTCACAAAATCTAATGATGAGTGAAAAAAGGCCAGACCAAGAAAATACGAGTATATACCACCTGATTCCATTTTTTGGATCTTCGAACATGCAATAGTAAGCTCTGGTTTTAGAAGTCAGGATAATGGGCATCTTTTGTCAGAGGGCAAGGAAATATGACTGGAAGGAAGCACAAGACAACTTTTGGAGTTCTGGAAATACTCCTTTCTAATTTGGGTGCTGTTCTCTGAGAATGTTTTCTCTGAGCTGTATGCCTAAGATTTGTGTATTTTTATTATGTAAAAATGTATCCCAAAAAAAAGAAATGCGACTTTTTCTGCTGAATTAATATTTACTAGATAAGCCATGTAGTAAAGACGCAGAAAAATGTGTTGAGCTCCACAAAAGGATTCAAGAAGAGCTTGATTATGGAATCTATCAAAAAGGGAAATAAGATTTAACAACTTAAAGTGTACCATCTGTAGTTAATTTAGTTATAACTCTTTTCAGCCCAATTTGTTGTATTTTGCATACTTAGTACTTGGATTATGCAACCACTAAGAATTATTTAATAAGCATATAATTATAAACCATAAATCATTTTATCCTACTCCTGTAAAGTAATCTGGATCACCTTCCTTGTTTTGAAGTCAGTTTTTATTTAAAAAGTATCAGGTTCTGTTCAAGATAAAATACTGTTTCAAGATTAGAAAAAAAAATTGGTTCATTGGAGGAATACACTTCCTTAATTGATTTTTTTTATAGAATATCTTTATTCATATTTTCTGCCTCTTTGGTTTCCTTCATTTGAAAGGGAAAAATGTTCTGGTCTCTATTCAATTTATATAATAGCAAACAAATATCAAATACATATTAGAATAAGATCAAAAGAATGGAGCCTTTAAACCATTCTCTCAAGGAACTCCCTGAATTTGCAAGACAAATTCCCACTATTTTATCATGATAAAAATGTTAACCAAGCACTTTATTCTGCAAAAGGCAATAGATAGGAAAGAAGTATTCAGTTGCCATAAGTAATGGTCTTATTCATTGTGTGGAGTGAAACAATTGCATAAACCCTTGGTAGATGCAGTTCCCCTCTTCAATTAAATTGTAATTCTCTCCCTTGTATAGTAAATATGGATGAAAAGTGTTGATTTGACAAGAAGAAAGAATGGTTCTACATTATCTAATCAAGTATATAATCATTTTGAAAAACATTTATGTTAGTGTATATGTTACTCTGATATTTCAATATGGGAGACCCTGTAATTTCCCTGAGGAAGAAAAAATATTTGGAATAATGTGGTTTGGTACAGAATAGTAGCATTGTTCAATAAACATGTCTACTTTCTTTGAAGTAAATTTTTGCCTAGACTTTAAAAATATATTCTTTAAGTTTGTTGAAATTTGTTATGGTCCCTAATGAGGTATGAACTATAAAACCTAGAAGAAAAAGTCCAAGGCACTCTAATGAATGAGTTCAATGCTTAAAGACCAGAATTCTGTAGGCACCATGCCACCCACCCACCAACTCCTGTCTCCTGCCGTGCTAACTCTGTGCCACACTGTACCAGTGAGATGTAACAATGCCTGAGTGTAAAGAATGCACTGGAAAACTAACAGTTTGGGTAGTGGATAGCACTTCTCACAACAAGTGCAATTACCAAGATTTCTGAGTCTTGGTGTCCACTGGGGGTGGGAAAGAAACTGAGATGAAAAGCCATGCCAGTGATTAGCTTGGTCCTTCTTACTATGGATTTTAGGTATTGAGGAGGAGAGTGGAAGAAACCAAGTGCCTTTTCCTTCAATCAACCATTAATCTGATAGCTGTCAATCAAGGCCACCTTTGAGAAAGAGAATTGGGGAAGTAAGCCAAATTAAAAAGATATAAGATAGGGACTAGCCCCTGGCATGAAAACCGAAAGGCAGAAGGAATAAGCAACTATGGAAAATTACTACCTCCCTAAATTCATATCACCTCATACTAGCTTCTTGAATGTTATTTTGAAAATGGAAGCACTGGGGCATGGGGGTGGGGGTATCTGTGTGGCACCCCTGGTAGAAATTGTTCATTGAAATGATGTAGGAGTGCAAAATGAGCATATGAATAATTTAATTTGGTTACTGTGTTGCTCTGTTAAATTAACTAGAGAGAAAATGGACGTGACTGTTTTTCCATGATTGAGTATGGTAAAAGTGAAATTCTTCATACTACTTTCACATCTTCTAAGATAATTATAAGTGTGATAATTTTCTTTAAAATATATACTTTATTAAGTACACATGTCTGTCTACCTTATAATCTGTAGTTAATATCTTTGAATAAATTCATGGAAAGTTTCTTTTTTTAGTAGTAACGTATCAAAAATATTTAAAATTATACTCCTGTTCTTTTCTTAGGATTTGGAGCTTGGAAGGAACACAGACAGCTCACTTTGTTCTTCATTCCCCTGGAATGAGTGTGTGCTGGCATCCCGAAGAAACTTTTAAGGTTGTTATTTATAACTTAGCTTTCTTTTTTCAAGCTGAAAACACATACACCCCATATTTCCCCATGTATAAGATGCACCCTTTTTCGAAAAATTTGGGGTCTAAAAACTGGGTGCGTCTTATACAATGGTTCTAGGTTTTTTTACTTGCATTTCCCGCTTTTTTACACTTGTTTTTGTGCTTATACAACCACTGTATAAGACACACCCAGTTTTTAGACCCCAAATTTTTCGAAAAAGGGTGCGTCTTATACATGGGGGAAATACGGTATGTGTAATACGTGGACGCACAAAGGGGAAAGGAACAATGACTTTTCCTACCTCAGAGACTCTGATTGTCACAAATGTACTTAGATTAGTCTAGAAATCTGTACCTTAAAAGTTCTCTATAGTTTTTTATTTGATAACCTTCATCCATAAATGGCATTTATTCAGAATACACTTTCCCTGCCCTTTGCTAAATTACAATTTAAAAACTGATGCCCAGGCTACCTAGTAGCAGTATTTGTTTTTTTTAAAAAAAGTTAAATCCATGCTTGTGAGCCATCATGTATAAACAAAGTGTCAGTGGCATAAGGCACATTTTACCTAGCTGCAGTGGTGCTCAATTCCTATTCAAAGTAGAGCTTTCTAAAATTCTAGAAATATCAATTGGCCTTAACTCGTATTTCATTGAGAAGATGGGAACGATTCCACAAGACTTCTCTCATTTGCCAGGATCTTCTCTTCGGCATCATGCACTTTATCTTTCCCTGAAATCTAAGAAGTTACCACATTCATCTTCTTAAAGTTAATCCTTCAGCTGTTTTGAGCTGGTGCCAGTTCCTTAGGCATCCTGTGTTCATAGCCCTCTAATGTCTTCGTGCTTCTCCAGTGACTCTTTTCTGTCGTCATATTTGCACAAAAAGATAAGCTTGATTAATCATAGCAAACATACTGCTTGCTTACATATGCTTGGCCCATTGTCAGCATTTCATGGATGTTAGCTCATTTAATCCTGACAACCTTGTGAGATAGTAGTTGCTGTGATTATCTCATTTTACAGATGAGGAAACCAAAGCTTAGATAATAAGTAACTTGCCCAAAGTCACACAGATGCTAAGTAGGAAAATTGGCATTTGAACCCAAGCAGCCTGCTCCATAGTTCTTGCTCTTAACCATTACATTCTTCTGTCTCCCCTTTTAATTTTAGTCTGCCTTCTTCACACATTCTATTTCTAAATGTTTGAACTCTTAACTTCAGTTCCTCTTTCCCCATTCCTTGGTCTAACTCTATAATCTCATTCAGTCTCCACTACTCTCTCAGAAGTCGTTAGTGATACTTTTAACAAAGCCAGCGGACTTGCCTTTCATTCTTAATCTCAAGGCAGCTTTTTGCACTGTTGTTCATGTCTATCTTGAAACCCTGCTCACTTGATCTTTGAAGCTGCATTATTCTGTCCTCTTGGGCATCTGTCTTTCCATGTATCTTCTCTGTCAGCTTGCCCTTCACCATGTATTTGTGGATTATCACAAGGGGTAGTTCTCAACTACACTGTACCCTTTGTTGTAATAGAGAATAAAAGAATGAATAAAGTCTTTGCCCTTGTGATACACTGACTTATAAGAAAGCAAAACATGCAAATACAGCAACACATATCTTAAGTGTTAGAGTCAGAACATCTAGTGAGTAGATTGATGACCTCCTCTTCATAGAGGAGGTAACCCTGAGCTTAGATGCCCCAGACTGTGTAAGTTCTCTGAACCCTGGGATTCCCTGAAAACTTGTTTCAGGCCTATCGGGTCTTTCATCAGTAGAATTAGACTCTGTATATGCGCATGAGTGACATTTTCTGATTTATTCATTTTACATACATAGGGGTTATTTTCATGTATAAGTATAATTTCCAAACCCAGGTCCGAAATTTTATACCTAGATTTCTCCCCTGTAGCAGTGAGACTTCTTGAAGCATACTCAGGGATTCTACCAAAATGTTCATATTGCCATGTATAAATACAATATGCTACTTCTTTAAAACTGTGACCTAGATAAGAAATGAGAATATTTATTACAACCTCTATCCCAAAACATTTATCTTAATACTTAATTTGTGGTTATTTCAGCTCCATTTCTTCTATATGCTTTAAGATGTTTTTCTTTTGTATCTCATTAAAATTCCACCCCACCCCATCTTTTTTTTCTTTTTTATAATTGTTTCCATGACTTCAGAATGTTTGGAAGGCCCTGCTCTAACTCACATAAACTCAGAATCTTAAGTTATCTTTGATATGTTACTTCCCTATAACACAAACTTTTTTAGATCTTTTACTTTTTCCTTCGCTGTCACTAGAATACATTCCTCTGTGTCATAAAGGTGCATTCTGCACATTTCTGTTCTCACAAGTAGCTCTTTCTAAGCCTTAACTTGTTTCAAAACTCTTTGGCTCTCTACTCTGATTCTTCTTGCCTACCTTAGATAGACTAATAATAAAACATCAGTTTCAACATGTCACTACTAAACTCAAAAAACCTAAACTACAGAAAGATGATACAGAGAAGTGGTTAAGAGTATGGATTCTTTTTTTTTTAATTTATTTTTTTAATTAGTTTCAGGTCTACAACACAGTGCAATAGTTATACTTTTTACCCCTCAAAGTGCCAAACCCCCGTCCCCCAACCTGCTGCCCCACTCCCCCTGCCCTGATATCATGCTTATCTATTACAATTCCATTGACTCCACTCCTACACTATACTCCACACCCCATGACTATATATATATTCAATTATAGTTGACATACAATATCATACAACATCAGCTTCAAGTGTACAGTGCAGTGATCAAGCCTCTACCCCATCCATGAAGTGGTCTCCCCAACAAGACATGTAAAAGACTGGGGAATATAATTAATAATGTTGTAAATATTTTGTAGTGTGTCAGATGGTCATGTTAGGGAGTATGGACTCATGAGTTAACTGCCTGGAGACATGTCACAGTTCACCATTGACTAGCCGTGTGATCTCTGGCAAGTTACAAAAGCTCTCTCAATCACTGCTTTCACTTTCTCATCTTGTAAAATGGAAGCTCATGAAAATGAAATAAACGACTGAACACTGATAAAATCTTTAAAAGAGAATCTGACACATAATAAGCACTGAATCAATTTCAGCTGCTTGTCGTAGTTGAGTTATTATTACTAATAACCCAATCTGGTGGTTCTCAGTGGTCTGCCATATCAGATCGAGCCCAGAATTTTTGTCCTGTTATGCTTGGTCTTGATGAAAATGAGGCAGCCAGAGAAGACAGCAAGAGATGGGTCCATGATTACCTACCTCATAGAATTCTTATGAAAATCATATGAGATATAAACTACGCAAAAGAGTCATATAATCTGGAAAGCACAAAGCAAATGCATTTAATATTGGGTTGTCGGAAAAGTCATGACGCATGTTTGCAACAGATGGCACTAGTTCATTTTTGGAAGTACTGGAGTCATTTGCGTCTATATTATTGCTATGTCATTTGACAGCTGACAGTTCTAGCTTCATTCTGAAAAAAAATGGAGCGATTTGGTTCAGTTTTGGAGATTTTATAACAAGTTGAAGATGGAAGACCAAACTGTGCATTTTTGCCATATTTTACTGTTTTACTTCCATAAAGGGAAGAATGCATATAAAGTTTGTGAAAAGTTGCATAAAGTTTACAGTGACAATGCTCTCCAAGAACATCAGTGCCAATGATGGTTCACGAAATTTCGTGCTGGTGATTTTGATCTCAGCGATGCTCCTCAGTCAGGGAGGCTCACTGAGGTTGATGACGACAAAATAAAGGCATTGATCGAGTCAAACCCACATTACACGACACGAGAGATTGCAGAAACATTGACCATCCATCATTCAAGCATTCACGACCACCTGAAGCAGCTGGGATACATAAGCAAGCTCGATATTTGGGTTCCACATGAACTCAAAAGAAGTTCATTTGATGGCTCATTTAAACATCTGCAATATGCTCATTAAATATGAGGAAAACGATCCTTTTTTGAAGCGACTGATAACTGGTGATGAGAAGTGGATTGTTTACAACAATGTGGTACACAAATGGTCTTGGTCCCGACGTGATGATTCGCCTCAAATGACATCGAAAGCACACATTCATTAGAGGAAGTTATGCTCTCAGTGTGGTGAGGTTTTAAAGGTGTTGTGTTTTTCGAGCTCCTACCAAGGAACCAAACAATCAAAGGAGTTGTGTTCCGTCACAACAACGTGAGACCATACACAAGTTGGATCACCCGTCAAAAATGATTGGAGCTTGGATGGGATGTGTTGCCACACCCACCATACTCACCTGACCTTGCACCGTCAGACTTCCACTTGTTTCACTCTCTTTCAAACTCCTTGCATGGTATAACGTTCAATTCAGATGAGGCTGTAAATCAGCACCTTGTTCAGTTTTTCGCAAATGAAGACAGGTCCTTCTATGAACGAGGAATTATGAAGCTCACTGAAAAATGGCAAAAGGTTATCGAATAAAACAGGCAATATATCATTGATTGATCTTTGTTCTTTATATAAATAAATGACCTTTGAAAAACATAGACAAAATACGTCATGACTTTTCCGACAACCCAACAGTAAAAGATACAAAAGTCAGAAATTAAGCTCTTAAATCCAATAAATCACAGTTGGAACTAGGATTTCAGAAAGTAATAACAACAGGACCAAGAGTTTAGGATGCCATGGGATCAGAGAATTGGGACTGAGGACATTTCACTCTCTGACCCTAAGAGGAAAGAGGTTAAGAGCCAGTAAATGAAATGAGACGTTAACAGTCAACGGTTGCTGAATGCTTTCTCAGGGCCAGAAACTGTGCTCAGTGCTTTACATGTGTCCTCCCCTGGGATTCTCACAGATCACTCGGAGCTTGGTAGCCTCATTCTATCCATTTGGTAGATAAGGAGACCGAAGCACCAGGAGGTTAAGTTTGCCCAGGGTCACAGTCACAGAGTGGACCTCAATCTGTTTCTGTACTACGATAGGAAAATTCAGTGCATATGATTGTTTATGGCTCTGAGCAGTCCTAAAGGAAAAATGCCCCTGTAACATTTTTAGATCCAGCAGTTCCCAGACTTCACTGTTGTACTCTGTCTGTTCTTTTAACAACAACAACAAAAAATCTGTTGTCACAATTGAGCACAGTTTTTAGAAATAATAACAAAACAAATTTATTTTTGCTAGAGCTTAGTTTTCAGTCTGACTTCAACCTGTAATAATAGCTAATGTTTTTTGAGTGCTTACTCTGCGCTGTAAATTCCGAGTGCTTTACATGTGCTAACTCATACCATCCTCCCAAGAGCCCTATGACGTAGCCACCATTATGAGCCCTTTTTTACTAATGAGGACCTGAGGCACAGAGAGGTCTTTGCTGCAGATCATTTAGCTCCTGAGGGTAGAGATGGGACCCTCCCAGGCCACCTGGCTACAGGGGTTGCTCACTTTAACCCACCATGCTGTATCACCCCTCCTGGTTTAGGACCTGGGCCCACATAGACTTGGCCCTTCCATAGTCCATAAGTTATACCAGGAATCCTTAAGATTTTCAGCCAAGTTGAAAATCCCAAATATGTTCCCTGAGTCCTGGCGAGTCTTCTTTGGTCTCCCCGCATTCCCAGTCCTTCCCCATGCCTGACTACGCGTATACAGCACACCAGCCTGCTCACCAGTCTTCACAGCCTAGCCGTGTAGTATGAGACACGTGCTCTGTAGTTAGACAGAGCTGGGTTCAATACCTGAGTTCAAATCCAGGCTGTGTCACAAGCTAGCAGTGAGACCTCAGCAAGTTACTTGAATCACTCTGAGCCTCAATCTCTTCTGAAAAACGAGATTAATGATAGTAAGTTCCTCATACAGTGATTATAAGGATTAAATATGGCAGGGCATGTAAAGCTCAGTGTTGCTCTTGTTTTTGTTGTGTATTTGTCATTGACTTCATGTTATTGTGAGTAGTGGCAGTATTGAAACATTCTGCCTATTCTTAAAGAATAGTTCTAAGTTCCACCTTTTCTATTAAGAATCTCGTAATTCCAAAGACTACCCATTTTCCAATTAATTTCTCCTCCTCTTGCACCCGAGGCTATGTTGCCTTCAATTATGGGCAGTTTTTAATAATTCTCTTGTCTAGGTGGAAGGTGTCTTGAGATCAAGGATTATGTCTTTTACATTTGTCTTCTGTTGAAATTAACATACTATTTTGCATATATGTGTGTGTATGCAGTTGATCTTTATTATTCATAGATTCCATATTTTCAAATTTTCCAACTCATTAAAATTTATTTGTAACCCCCAAATCAGTACTCAGTCACCTTCACAGTCAAACATGTGCAGAGCAACAAAAAATGTGAGTAAGCTAAAGTGCACGTTCCCACCTAAGGCCGACCAAGGCGGCACTCTGCCTTCTCGTGTCAGCTCCCTTACTGTGAACAAGTGTTCTATGCATGGTCTGTTTAGTGCCACATTTTGGTGCTTTTCTGGTGACTTCACTGTGTAAAATGGCCCCCAAGCACAGCGTTAAAGTGGAGAAAATACATGTGTTAGATAAGTTTTGTTCAGACATAAGTTACAGTGCTTTTGGCCATGAGTTCTATGTTAATAAATCAATATACAGTTGACCCTTGATCATCATGGGAGTTAGGGGCACCGACCACCCCCACACACGCACAGTCAAAAATCCGCATATAACTTATGCCTCCCCAAAAAGTTAGCTCCAATCATCCTGCTATGTCCACAGAGGATTGGTTCCAGGAACCCCTGCAGGTACCAAAATCTGCAGATGCTCAAGTGCCTTATTTAACATGACATGGAACAATGCGTACAGTCGGCCCTCCGCATCCAGAATGCCAGCTTTGGATCGAAAATACTGTTTGATCTGCAGTTGATTGAATCTGTGGATGTGAAACCTGGGGATATAGAGGGCCGACTGTATTTATTGAAAAAAGTCCACGTGTAAGTGGACTCGCGCAGTTCACACTTGTGTTGTTCAAGCATCAACTGTATATATTATATAAGGTGCCTTTAAACAGAAATACATAAAACATGGTTATGTATTGATCAGGTGACAACCCAACCCTTCATTTCCCCTGGGATCAATGGTTCAACATTCACTAATTCAGCACCTTTGTAGAACCTAACTACCATAAATATTGAGACTCAGTGTGTGTGTGTAAGTATATAGTAGATGCTCAGTAAAATTCCGTTAGATGAATAGTAGAATTACTGCCAGTAATCCTGACTCTGGCTTATTAGAAATAGCAGCAATACTTTTATGGTGTTTTACGTGCTTGGGATAGTACTTTTACATAAAATATCACATTTTAGCCACACAGGAACTTTTTGAGTCTGATATAATGATTCCCCATTTTACAGATAAGAAGAAAGCAAACTCCAAGTCACTCAGCAGACTAAGTAGCAAAACTAAGGATTCTGACCCTAGTTTCACATACTTCCAGTGTACAACTCCTACGTCACACCTTCAGGAATGTTTTCACCTTAACATAATCAGAATTAAAAGAACATTCATTACAAGTAAGAACTTTACAGAAAATGCAGTTTTTCAAATCCTTTTGTTCAGTCAACAACTACTCATGCACTTACATATGCACAGCAGTCTCTATATCTTTTTTTTTTTTTTAAGATTTTTATTGGGGAATTGGGGAAAGGGGAACAGGCAAGTTGCTGTCCTTTTGTTCTTCAGTCTAGTTGTGGAGGACGTTGCTTCACTGGCCCAAGTTGGCACCATCATTGCACTCTTCCCTGTTCGAGGCAGATCAGTCACCGGCTTCTGGACGGCCGCTCACAGCGGCTACTGGCCGCTCACGCTGGCTGCTGGCTACACATGGTAGCCCATGGCAACCCACTGCAGCTGGGGCTGCAGCCTATGCCGTCACCAGTGACTCACGGCAGCCCACCTCCAGGTTGAGCTGTTGTTCAGCATCTTAGCTGTGGAGGGCAGTGTCACTGGCCCTCATATGTGGGATCTGAACCGGGGCCCTCTGGCATCCCAAGCCAGTTCTTAACCAACGCGCCACTTGGCTGGCCCAGCAGTCTCTATATCTTAACTCCCACAAATGCATATCCTAATGCCATACTTTTTTGAGTCTAAGAAACAAATTTTTTCACATTTTAATGTTTTGTAAAATTGGAACTTATAGCTATTTTATGCATTTGATAAAGTATTTCTTGGATAGGGAGGGAGGAAAGACACTCATTTATTGAACATCTTAAATCAGTAATATTTAAAATAAAAGGAATATTAAAGTAATAGTAACTACTATTGGTTGAGTGGCTACTATGTCAAGAATTGTCCTGGGTGCTGTACATGCATTACTCATTTAATCATCATAACAATGCTATAGCTGTTCTTGTCCTCACATATCCATTTTAGAAATGAGGAAACTGACAGTCAAAGCCTTGTAACTTGGCAAGTCTTTCAGCCTTCCAGTGGGAGAGGCAGCCTTGCTCCCCAGGCCTGTCTGTGCTCTTCAACTATGCCAGGCTGCCTTCCATTCTGGAAACATACTTACTTTACGTAAGAATGTGTAACATACAAACAACTCTTTCACAAAATAAGCACTTAGCTATCCTTTCTAGACAATATAACTTAAAGGTAACGTCCCAGAATAAATCCTTAGGCTGATTTATTTCTGGTGACCATACATCATTTAAAATTGTACCCAATTTTCTGGACTCTTTTGCTAGTTTCCTGTAAGGTTTTTGTATATATTTGATAGAGATTTTTACATAGTCTTTTCTTACTTCTTTGCATTTGATCGTCCATTTGTAATATAGACAAATGTTTACATTTTACTATATAAATTGAATCTGCCTACTTCTCAGACTTGGCTAGTGAATCTCAGGTAGTTGACTTTTCTTTATTTTTCTGTCTTACAGCTGATGGTTGCAGAGAAGAATGGAACAATCCGATTTTATGATATTTCGGCCCAACAGGCTATTTTATCTCTTGAATCAGAACAGATGCCATTAATGTCAGCACACTGGTGCTTAAAAAACACCTTCAAAGTCGGAGCTGTTGCAGGGAATGATTGGTTAATTTGGGATATTACTCGGTCCAGGTACTTCCTTAGTGCGTTTATCTATTGCTTACCAAAAAAACAGTCACTATTGATGAATGATGCACTGAGCCGTTTTTTTAATACCTGTCCCTCACTGGAGAGCAGAAACAAGCCTCTTCTGTAGAAGGGCCAGAGCTATGCATGTTACATAACAGAGAGCGGCATGTGCTTCCACAGGTTTACTTGGATAAGTAACCCAGAAAGAACAATGCAGAGGGAGGAAATATTTGATCCCAGCACTGTTTACTTATATTAAAATAGAAAAGAAGAAGAAAAACACTGACCCTGTTGAATGATAGTGTTCTGTAATGATTCCAATTCACATTACGTCTTTATCATATTTTATCCATTTAAATCCATTGTTCATTTGGAATTGTATCACACTTTAAATATGTTGGGCCTTCTGTCCTTTAAAAAGAAAATACCTCTGAAACCTTAATTTAAGTTCCTCTACTTGAGACCAGCACATAATTCATAAATCCAAAATACTATATTTTAGTTACCCTCGAGAAAAGAGACCTGTCCACACAGATGGAGCCTACTTATTCAGGTAATGTACTATTTTTGTTGGAGTTATCATTTGATTTTCTGAGTTTGGTGCTTTTGTTCATGCTGTGCCACCCTCTGGGGTACTTTCCCAGTCCTCTCCTTTGCGGGCAGTGAGGAGGTTAGTTTGGGGCTGTGTTTTTTTCTGATTGTTTTATAAATGGCTATTTTTCCTTTCGTAATAAGTTTTGGCTTTTGTCTTTTGGTTTAGGCAAGAGAATGATTTGTTTTTCAATATTCTTTTTTAAAAAGTTTTTAAAACACAAAACATGTTGCTACTCTAATACCACCCCAGTAATTTGGAGCATATGCTTTCTTATTTTTAGTGCTGATAAAGATATGAAGTGTAGGTGGGCCCATATTTATGCATATAAACTTCATTTTTGTATTTTAAATGAGAACATGCTAGATATTATATTTCTCCACCTTGTTCTTTCTTTGTCTACCTTGTCTACCTTGTTCTTTCTCATTCATTTTTGCATTGTATTCTATTGTAGAGTGTAGTCTTTAGGGTGCTTTCTGCTTCAAGTAACAGGAAAACTTACTAAGAGACTAAAACCAGTAGAACATTTTTTATATGCTATATTACATCAAATCTAAAATATTCTCCAATAAAATTGTAGAACTTGAAGAAACCACTGTTTTATGTACTCCTAAGAAAAAAATATATGAGGTGTGATTAAAAAATACAGTGACTGTTTAAATAAAAAAATTATTACAGTAAAAGACACATTGCCATGAATCCCCCTCAAAATACCACCCCTGCTTTGAGCACACGATCGTTGACACGGAGTGTTGTCATGATGGAAGATGATTTACAGCACACATTAAAACACACCTCTCAACACCCAACTAACTGCACCAAACAAGTTGAAACTTGTCACACACTGTTACTAAGGTTCGATCTGCTTCCCGTATTGAAGAGCCTTTCCATTGGATGACACTTGGCAGCAGCATTCACCGTATTTTGTGATCACAACAGAAAGGCTCCGTGTCACACATCACTTCTGGTATACGGCAATTTCTGTCAAAAACATTACGGTGTGTCCTCATCCACCTTATTCACCGGATTTGGCACCGTGCGACTTCTGGCTCTTCCCCAAAGTCAAAATGATTCAGGACATGGAGGCAGCCGCGACAGCACAACTAAAGACACTCAGGAAACAGGACTTCCAGAACTGCTTCAGAAAGTGGCAAGAATGATGGGATAAGTGTATTCGAAGAAAGGGGGAGTACTTTGAGGGGGGTTAATAGCAATGTGTCTTACTGTAATAATTTTTTTTTATTTAAACAGTCACCGTATTTGTTGATCACACCTTGTATTCAACTAAATATAGAATGCCATAGATTGTAAAATGCACTCTGATTTCAGAGATGTGAGCAAATACATATTTTAAAATCAATGAGCTGCGGTACTTAGCAAGAAGTCTGGAGGAGGTAGTCTCAGGATTGGTTTCGTAGCTCATCAGTGCTGTCAAGAGGGAAACTCGGGCATCCTCGGTGGTGAGGCTTTGGACTTGTTGCTTCACAGTCACTAGATGACTTCCAGAGTTCCAGGCATCACAGCCTCATACCACATTGACCAAAGGAAGAGGAGAGGAAGGAACACTCCCTTTTCATTGGGCTTTGTTGTCATTGCCTTAAATCAGTTGTGTCTCATCCTTTGGGGTTGGACACACTGTGCTAGAATGCAGTTGGGGTTCAGTTACCATAGAAAAGGGCAGAATGACTGTTGGACAAACAACTAATAATGTCTGCCACACTTTCTTTCTGGTCAAGAAATCCTTTCTTTTTCTTTTATTTCCTCTACTGCATTTATAGTGCTGGGCATGTCACTGGAGCTCCATTAACACTTGTTGATTCATTGACTCATTGTATTCCAATGTCTAGGTTGTCTTGAAACTTAAATGTAGAAGGTGCCAAAAATATATGTACACATTTTGAGAAAGGAAAAAAACGATTAAAATTGTAATACAATGAATGATGCTACTAGCATTCATTTTATAAATGCCATCTTTTGAGCAAACTTCGTACTACACATTGCTACCCTCATTCAATTCAACTTCGAAAAGTAATACATAGATAACATCTTTTAAAATGTATACATTGTTTTTGGCACCCCCAGTATTTAACTACCGAAATATTCTGGGTGTTTGTATTATCTCAAGGAGTTTAAACACATGAGTTAATCACTAACGTATAACAAATGTCAATGAGAACATTACTTGTGATTTTTTAATGTATTGTACTATGAAATATTTTGTATCTGTCTGATGCCTTGTTTGTGTCTCTTACCACACTGTCAGCCTTTGGTTATAAGAAAAGAACTACTAACCTTGTGTAACTTTGGAACTTAAAGTGGCACACAATAAGCACTTAATAAACATTCACAGCATGAGAAAATATAATTAACTTCCCTGGAGTTCCCAGTCTAATTGTAAAGCCAGATTATCAAAATTAGGGTTTAAAATTATTGTTTTTGTGCAAAAAGGAATAGCCTGGTTCAGAGAAGCTTGTAGTTATTAGTAAGATACTGTACTTATTTTTATCTTTTGCTTTTCTCAGGTGGTCCACAGCTAATGAACACTTATTTGCTACCACTGGTTATCCTGGTAAAATGGCAAGCCAATTTCAAATCCATCATTTAGGACACCCTCAGGTAATTTGGAGATGTTTTGTGGCATATATGTTTTTAAATTTGTATCTTCTACTTTTCTACTCATAGCCCCCAAATTTGTAATGTATAACTAAAGGTATTTATAAATGTCTGTTATTTGCGTGAATTGGAAAGAGGAGGCAGTTTTTCGATGTTTATATCACTGGTGCTAATAGACTTTTGTCACTATTCATATAAAAGGCATTTTTTCTTCTGTTATATTTCCTCTTTCATTTAAATATAATAATTTTGCTTGCTTGGTTGGTTTAGACTGCAAAAAATGTTTGAGTCTGGACAGCACCATTTATTCATAGATTATTTGTATCTTTCATTCTAGCCAGCTGCAAACAAATAATGCATATTTCACCTATGAGGAAGCATATTTTTAATTCTGTTTCTGCTATTAATAGACAATTTATCAATGCATTTTTAGTTTTTAGTTTTGAAGGGTAGTTCTTTTTTTTTTTTTTTTTTTTAGCTGAGCCATCCTGCCACCTATTGGTAGCTCAGCGGCTGCTCAGCTCAGGCTGGACTCGAACTGCTGTTGCTCAGAGCTCAAACTCTTGAGCGAGCTCTTAACCAACTGAGCCACTCGGCCGGCCCTTGAAGGGTAGTTCTTGTTTATCAACTTTGATGATTTATTGAGCTTCTTTAATTCTTCACATATTTTATAGCCCGTCCTCACAGGTTCTGGAACCGTTGGATCTGGCCTTTCCTGGCATAGAACTCTCCCACTGTGTGCAATTGGAGGAGACCACAAGCTGTTATTTTGGGTGACTGAAATGTAAAATAAATTTTCTGGATACCTTAGATCCATAAACTTTGTATTTTTAGTACATATTTTGGAGAATTCCTTATTTTTATACCAAATATACTGTAAGCTCTAGAAATATCACAATTGTTGTTTTTATTAAATAAAATGTTGATGGTTTGAAAAATTATTTTCCTACTCTGGTGTGTGTGTGTGTGTGTGTGTGTGTGTGTGTGTGTGTTTAAATCATCTCTTAAGGCTACAATTGACTCAGCAGCTCCAAAAAAAGAGATGGCTAGGGAAACAATGCTTTTGATTTTTGCCACATGATTTTTCCAAAGTATATCCTGTCTTCTATACTTTACATATATGCTGTTTTCCTAATTCTCAGGGACACAAACATTTACAAAAGGGAAAAAGGCCTCTTCTTTCAGTGTTACTTTAGAAGTGATTGAATGTATATGTGTGGATGTATGCATTTTTTTTTTGCAATCTATGATGTGTAGGGGTCTGACAACTTCTTCAGGTATTATATTATAGTCTTATTAAATTAAAATAAAAATGATTGTCAGTTTCTTAAAAATGTGGCTGATTATGTTACTCAACCCTGTTTACTGTATGCAAATTCCTTTTGACAGGACATCTCAGCATTCTTAGTATATAGGATATACTATATATAGGATATATATATAGGATATATATGTATATATATATATACCTGGTATATAGGATAAAGCTTACCTTGAAAAATGACATCATTTAATACTTTTTACAGCCTCTGCCTTTTATGAATCTTTACTACTCTTATCAAGAAATTTAAATGTTTTGGGGATGACACCTAGTGGCAATAGAACTATATTCACCATCTCAAAGCTTATGGAAATCACAATTATGTAAGGCAGCCGTATCATATTTTTAATGACACGTCATGATATAATCAGAAGAGTGTAAGCTTAGGGTTCTGCTTCTCAGTAATGTGTAGAGTTAAGTAAATTCCTACAAACTGCATTCCTGTGAGTTAATGCCCTCTCTGAAGCTGCATTTCCTCATATAATATAGAGATAGGAATTACTGTCTCACGGAGTTACTGTGAGGATTAAGTAAAGGCGAATGAAAATAGCCAACAAGTGTCTGCCACGCAGTTCAGAGATTTGTAGGTATTATTAATTTATTTCAGAGATGTATAGTTCTTATTTTTGAGGACTTAGAAGTTTATTTCTAATTAATACCAATAAATATTTTTTACTCAGTGTACTAAGTTTTCTATTTATAAGATGTCTTGTAAGTATCTAATGGAATCAAGAAAATTATCTTTAAGAGGGAAAATGTTGCAGGTAATTAAAAATATGTTAGTAAAGTTTTGTAATCATGTAGATGTTTGGTATAAATTGTTATGTGCTTTAAAGTACAGATGAAAAATTGCATAGCACAGCAATTTCCGTGTCAGTTATTTAACACAGTAAAATATTAGTACCAAATAATAGAAATAGTTTTCTTTATCCCTTCATAAGCAGATTTTGAACCTAAAAAAGCAAAGGACAGAAAATTTTGACATGGTTCCCTTTAATAGCCTCTGTAATGGAACAGACAACCCTAAAAGTATGAGGATAAGCCAAAGAATTGTCATTTCAGGATGTATCCCAAAAATAAGGGATACAACCTGAAATCACAAATTGGACCAGTGTTTTTGAAAATTGCCTTATACTTAGAAAAATTGACTTAGGAATTGAGTGGGTTATGTTTAGGGATGGAGATTGGAGAGGTTTGGGTATTTGGGTATTTAGGATATGGGTTTTCCAGAATAAGGGCTTATCCAAATATAAAAGTTGCCTGTTGAAATTACCCAATAGACCTATCTATTAGGGGAAGCTGCCTATAGGAAAAGATAACTCATGGTGGTCGTGTCAATACAAATGCCAAAGAGAGGCAGGTAGTGTTACCCTCAAAGAGAGAAAATGGTTGTGTGTGTAAATTACGATGGTGGCTGTGAGATGAGAGGGATGCCTTTACCTCTTAGTTTCAAGAGTGGCAACATTTTATTCTGAGTAAGCATTGAGAACTGTAACCTTGTCTGGCTATGCAGCCATTTTCCAATTTCTGCTTTGCTGTTAAACTTTAGTGGATTCAGTTACTTTAAGTGGTGTAATGAAACTCTTTTTCCTTAGTAAACTTTGTTCTTAGTAAACTGTGTTTAAATTAGACTGAGGCAGGAGGAAATGTTTAATGGGGAATTAGTTATTGGTCATCACTTCTAATTCCTAATAAATTGCATGAGATGTGTGTGTGTGTGTGTGTGTGTGTGTGTGTCCCAGTTAGTTTTAGTTTTTCCATGTTTGTTTATAAATATGTCTAAGATGGTTTTTCTTTTGTTGAAATTAAGTTTTTCTCAGGATTGCTTCACTTACAAACATTGTGAAAAGAAAAAAAAAGTTGTACTTATGTTCTACAACGTGTGTTATTTAGGACTGTTGAAACAAAAGTCAGGATATCACAAATCTGCAAGATGTCAGAACTAAATCCTACTCTTTCAAAATGATGGGATCATAAGTCTTATTTTATTTTTATGATTTGGCTTGTACATTGTGAATATTTTAATGTTTCTCCCATGCCAGAACACAAAATCACACACCCATGCACTCCAATTTGTTTCTTACTTTGGTAATTTGCAACTGCATATTGACACTGACCTAGAAATGTTCCTGTTGCTGTTTTAAATCTCATGTCAGTGGAGAAGAAACTGAAATCTGGTTTGCACATTTGTGTCTGGTTTTTTGTAATTGTCCAAAATCTGACATTATCCCAGAAATGCTGATTGGGAAGTTATGAGACGGTGGTGTGCCCAGGACTGATTTCTGAGGAGAGGGAAAGTATTCACTCCAGATTATTCCCCATGTTTTTCTGTAGCTCAAAAAGTTATACTCAATTTAACCCAACTTGATGCCATACCGGTAATAGCCTTGGTTCTGAACCCAAATAATATTTGCAAAGTAAAATTGACTCTCAGGATGGTCCATTTCCACATATTCCCCCTGAGAGCTTGGTCAAGCCCCCAAAAGCAGCACTCTGTTCCAGTATATCATTACCAGGCTGTCGGCGTGCTCAGTCACAGGGACAGGAGAGAACACTCTGTTTCTTTAATCTAACACCTTGCTGATTCAAAAACATTTATTTTAACAGGCATTGGAAAAGGCTTTCGAAACAGCGAACATTCGTTTCTAATTATATATTTAAAGAAATACGCCCTTTAAAACATAGGTAGTTTTCTTTTGTTATTATTAATGTGACTTTAATGTATAGCAACCATTTGTTAACTAAACACAGTCACAATAAAATCATTAGGATATCAGCTTTGAGGCTCCCCATTGCACAAAAGGAAACATGAATGCACATTGGATGACATAGCCATTACTCAAACTCAACATAACCGATTTCTTTTGCATGCGTGGACACAGCCTTCATGGGAAATCCAAAAGCATTGAGTCTACTTTCTGACCTTTTCAGCTGTTCTTTGAACTACCTTAGTGAAAACAATTGTTGCCCTATGTAAGATCAAGTTACATTTGCCTGGAAATTTCTTCGGATCAGCTTATTTCTGTTTAACTTATGTCTTTGTTATATAGCTCTTTGCCTTCTCAACTAATTGTTAACAGGATACTCAACCTTGGGACAACTCGTAACACATAAAAACATAAATTCCATGTGAACAATGGTAAATTAAAGGGGCTGCCACCAGGCTTCTCAGCCTTGGCAAACAATTTGAGTAACCCAATAGATTTAAAAATACATGAAATAAGCATTTCTATAAATTGTGTCTTTAGTGCTATATTGAGTTCAGGGCCTATTTCCTTCCTTTGTAGTAACAGGCAATAAATGCTGCTGGTGTCTTTGCTTCTAATGGTGGTTAAACACAAAACTTTGATCCTTTTTTTTAAACACAGCTGTTGTTCTATCATTGAGCCAAATCCAGAGAAGATTAGACTCTGGCCGAAATTAAGGTTAATCTCTGCAACCATCTGAAGTAAGAGCTTTCTAATACTGTTTTAGGAAATCTCTATTTTTGAGACAGCATATAAAGGAAATAAGGCCCAGACAACTAACCTCTAAAGTAAGCCAAAGGCAACTTGTGATGAATTATACCACAGTGATAAAGAAGATAGACTGTCTAAACAAATTAGTTCATTTGGGTTCATTTTTACTTAGACTGTAACTGTAAGAAATGACTTGCTTAGTTGACTTTAAGTTTAAACCAGACCAATATAAGTTATTTTTTAAAGAGCTTCTTTCTACTGTCTTTTCTTAATTTAATGTTTCCTTGGTTAAATTGCTAGTTCGTTCTTCCACTAGTATAATGAAAACTAGGTGGTTATTTATTACAGATAAAATAACTCATATTTTATTGTAATTATTGTATAATAGCTCACTTTGGTTTCCAACCTCCAAAAAATGTTTTTTCATTAAGATTTAGACGCTCTGGAATTTTAAATACTTTGCCAAATGTTCTGTAGGGCTGGTTCTCCTGAGAGTTGTACGCTAGCGCCTCAAGCTGTGTTGTGAACAGCTAATGATGCATCTCTCTCCAAATTGCCTGTACCAAGGAGAACATCTGTGCACGTATCCCTCATTGAAATCTATGGGGCTCTAGTAAGTTTGCCCTGGTGCTTGATTTTGAGCAAGTAGAGGACCTGATCATATATACAGCTGCATCAGAGATCTCCCCCAATCTTGGACTTACCCCACAAATACTTTAAACCCCAAGCCCACAGAGCAATCTGAAATTCATTCGGTGTTTTTGACCTATTCTTTCCCCATCATTCCGCTCCCTGCCACAGTAACTGAGATGCGTTCACATGTGTATATAATCTTTACAAAATCCTGGGTCACTGCTTCCCAACCTCTTCATAATAACTGGGAAAATATGGAATTATTGCAAGTTGCTCAGTATTGTATACCTGTTAACCACTATCAAAGTCCTTTTTTTCTTTTGAAGCTGTGACCTCCTGGGGCCCTGAGATAGACCACTCCAAAAATCAAACTTGCCAACATAATCTTAGCAGATGTTGACGGCAGGTATCCTGCCATCTGCCTCTTCCATACCCCAAGCACCACTAACAGGAGGAATGAGTCTGCCAAAGATCCCTTACCTCCAACTTAGAGAGATTTTGAAGATTTCATTCAGAAATCTGAGAGGGT